CATATGATAAAACCTCTATCCAGTCTATAAAGATTATCATGCAATATAAGGCATATGATAAAACCTCTATCCAGTCTATAAAGATTATCACGCAATATAAGGCATATGATAAAACCTCTATCCAGTCTATAAAGATTATCACGCAATATAAGGCATATGGTAAAAGCTCTATCCAGTCTATAAAGATTATCATGCAATATAAGGCATATGATAAAACCTCTATCCAGTCTATAAAGATTATCGCGCAATATAAGGCATATGATAAAACCTCTATCCAGTCTATAAAGATTATCATGCAATATAAGGCATATGATGAAAACCTCTATCCAGTCTATAAATATTATCACGCAATATAAGGCATATGATAAAACCTCTATCCAGTCTATAAAGATTATCATGCAATATAAGGCATATGATAAAAGCCTCTATCCAGTCTATAAAGATTATCACGCAATATAAGGCATATGATAAAACCTCTATCCAGTCTATAAAGATTATCAGCAATATAAGGCATATGATAAAACCTCTATCCAGTCTATAAAGATTATCACTAAAATAACAATATAAATGTTACAACTATTTATTCTTTTTATTCTTCTTATTCAGGATAATTTATCAGTTTTAAAACTTGGTAAATCTGATGATTTGAGACCTGGTGAATGGGTGATTGCAATGGGGAGTCCATTGTCACTGAGTAACACCATAACATGTGGTATTGTCAGTAGAGTACACCGTGGCAGTGGAGAACTTGGTATGAGAAATAAAGATATGAAATATATACAGACTGATGCAGCTATCAATGTAAGTTATCAATAAATGTATGAACTCAAATACGTAACCTCATAACTTTGTAATTTTTTACCCCATATGTCGCCATTAAGAGATCTAAAAATATAATCTATAATAATAGTTTGAGGTACAGCATGTTAAATAGATCAAATAATTTCAACTACATTACTTTGTTGTTGAATCACAGTGAAATTTATTCTTTTATTAAAGCCACAGCAAAATTATTTCAATTGCTCAACAGTTATAATATGTTGGTCGCTATTTTAGTTTTTGTTTACTTATTTGTCTTCATGAACAATTAATGTATACAAACACAAACAAATCTGGTTGTTGTTATTAGCCCATGATGACACTTATATTAACCAGTTCTACAGCAATATACGATAATAACAATTCAGCATTTGTTTTCAATAGTTTGGGAACTCTGGGGGTCCATTGGTCAACTTAGATGGTGAGGCTATTGGTATAAACACACTAAAAGTGACTCCTGGTATATCATTTGCTATTCCTATTGACTACGCTAAACAATTTTTAGTTAAACTCGATGAAGCTCAGAAAACAGGTAAGATGAGATTATGGGTAACCATGAAGTGTGCGTGCATAAATTCCACATTCCAAATCATTAATTCATCAAAAAAACAATTGGTTATTTCAGCCCTGGATCTCAGTTCAATGTATCAATCTGGTATTTGGACAATATAGGACCTGGATGCACATCATTTTGTTTTACAGATGGGATTCTTAATAGCCATGGTAGCCATTTTGTATTTTCAAATGCCACAATCTGTGACATGCTATGATTAATTGTGTTCAAACTTCACAATCCACATCATACATAATGACACACAAATTGAAATGCATTCAATTCAAGTTCTTATTCAAAATGACTGACTCGTTTTAGTTTTGTTTATCAGTGCACAATTGGACAGTGACTTTGTTAATTGTTCTTGCAAGACTTCCCTAGGGCCTATGGAAGGTCGAGTGCTTTATGTGCAAGAATTTATATTCATATTTATAAATGACATATTTATATTTATATTTATAAAATCTCCATTTGAATTTGTAAAGTCTTCATTCATATTCATAATACAAATTTGCATTTGGTTTTGTGAAATTGGCATTTATATTCATAAAATCTTTAATTTATGTTCATTATTTATCTACATGTATTTATAAAAAATGTGATAAGTGAGCATAGAGGGTGCTTTTTTGGTAGAAATATATATTAGTATTTGAAAAACCTCCATTTATATTCGTCAATCTCAATTTGTGTTCGTAGAATTGTCTACATATGCGACAAGTGAACACTGATGGCGCTCTTCGGTATTGACTTTGATTCAATCTGTAGCCTGTCGGTCCTAACACGAATATTAATGGGGATTACACAAATACAATTATTTTAAACATTATAGAAACATACAAATGGCTTGCAAAGGTTGTAAACTTTGTTAGTCCCCGTTCGGCCGGAGTCCGAAAACGGGGACTTATGTTTTGCCCTGTGTGCGTCCGTCCGTCCGTCCGTGATCACCTGTATCTCGAACATGCATGGACCG